TTTCCCAATTTCCCGTTTTTTCCCCCATTTTTTCCCCGCTCACAGGTTTTGATCCTGGGCTGTTCCCCGAAGGGCGGTGCCAGGAACGCCGGGCGGAAAAACCAAACCACGTTCACCAACCACAGAAAGGGCAACAGCAGGAAACCACCTGGAAATGGAGATACAACAGAGATACTACAGGGTTACTACAGGAAAAACCAAACCACGTTCACCAACCAGAGAAAGGGCAGCAACAGGAAACCACCTGGGAATAGAGATACTCATAGGTTACTACAGGGTTACTACAGGAAAAACCAAACCACGTTCACCAACCAGAGAAAGGGCAGCAGCAGGAAACCGCCTGTAAATACAGTTACTACAGGGTTACTACAGGGTTACACCAGGGTTACTACAGGGAAAACCAAACCACGTTCACCAACCAGAGAAAGGGCAGCAGCAGGAAACCGCCTGGAAATGGAGATACTACAGGGTTACTACAGGGTTACTACAGGGTTACTACAGGAAAAACCAAACCACGTTCACCAGCCAGAGAAAGGGCAGCAGCAGGAACCCACCTACAACAGAGTTACTATGGGGTTACTCATAGGTTACTATGGGGTTACTACAGGGAAAACCAAACCACGTTCACCAACCAGAGAAAGGGCAGCAGCAGGAACCCACCTACAACAGAGTTACTATGGGGTTACTCATAGGTTACTATGGGGTTACACTGGGGTTACTACAGGGTTACTACAGGGTTACTGAGGGGTTACACCTGGGTGTAATCACCAACCACAGGAACGGCAGCAGCAGGAACCCACCTGCAACGGGGATACTACAGGGTTACTACGGGGTTACACCGGGGTTACACCTGGGACAGGCACAGGCACACCTGGACAGGTCAGTCAAGGTCACTCAGTGGTCAGTTGGTCAGTGGTCACTCATGGTCACTCACCCAGGTAGTATTTCATTCATTGGTCAGTTGGTCAGTGGTCACTCATTGGTCACTCAGGGTCACTCACCCAGGCAGTGTTTCACTCAGTGGTCAGTTGGTCAGTGGTCACTCATCCGGGCAGTATTTCATTCATTGGTCACTCAGGGTGACTCAGCGGTCACTCATTGGTCAGTGGTCACTCATTGGTCACTCATTGGTCAGTGGTCAGTTGGTCAGTGGTCAGTTGGTCACTCAGGGTCACTCAGGGTCACTCACCCAGGCAGTATTTCATTCATTGGTCACTCATTGGTCACTCAGGGTCACTCATTGGTCACTCAGTGGTCACTCAGTGGTCAGTTGGTCAGTTGGTCAGTGGTCACTCAGGGTCACTCAGTGGTCAGTGGTCACTCACCCAGGTAGTATTTCACTCATTGGTCACTCAGTGGTCACTCAGGGTCACTCAGTGGTCACTCAGGGTCACTCACCCAGGTAGTATTTCACTCATTGGTCAGTGGTCATTGGTCACTCAGTGGTCAGTGGTCAGTGGTCACTCACCCAGGTAGTATTTCATTCAGTGGTCACTCAGTGGTCACTCATTGGTCACTCAGGGTCACTCAGGGTCACTCACCCAGGTAGTATTTCATTCATTGGTCAGTGGTCATTGGTCACTCAGTGGTCACTCAGTGGTCAGTGGTCACTCACCCAGGTAGTATTTCCGGCACAGCTGCAGCTTCTCCTCATTGGAAACGCGCTCCAGGTTCATCTGCACCGGAACAAACCAGTATAAACCAGTATGGACCAGTACGGACCAGTACAGACCGGTATGGACCATTATGATGGACCAGTACGGACCAGTATGGACCGGTACAAACCGGTATGGACCAGTAAAACTCATAGAAACCAATATAAACCAGTATAAATCAGTGTAAACCAGTATGGACCAGTATGGACCAGTCCATCCCAGTAACACCGGCGACCTCCCAGTTCATCCCAGTCCCTCCCAGTATAAACCAGTATCCCACAATCTCGCTCCCAGTTCCCTCCCACTCCCTCCCGGTCCATCCCAGTCCATCCCAGTCCATCCTAGTTTATCCCAGTCCATCCCAGTTCC